CTACGGACATATGAAAAACATATACAGTTACTGAACAATCTAAGGATTTTTACATATCTAAAACTGTACCAGCATCTGAATGACAACCGTTTACTAAGAACAGTCATCCAGAAGTCTTCATACAGCGTGTCTTCATAATTATATTTAAAGTGTTTAAATAGTCAGGATCTTTATTTTCATCACATTTTTCACACATGACAGGATGATAGAATTAGTCGTTTATATCTGGTGTCAAAATCATCCAATAGTACACATTTGTTTGATCAATTGATACTAACGTAAAATTCAGTCGCGAATATTTCTTGCATTTTTAATACGAGAAAAAAATAACAGTAAGTAAAGAAGTATGTCGCCTGGGATGACCAGCAGGAAAATGTGGTCTGCAGTGGATATCGGGAGTAAGATTGAAAAATTTAAAAAATATTGCCTTGAAACATGCCCCATACGGAACCCTAAGAGAACTGTTGCAATGCCACTTGAACGAGCTAAGAGCGTGGCATCTGATTAACGTCCCTATTGTTACCGTATGAGACTGCTTATTTAAACATCATTCTGCACAGCCAAACAGACCCCCATTAAACACTTTGCCAGTTTTACTTTCCGACCTGAATGTCATATTTCTACACCGCAGTAGAGCCATTGCGATCAGTTCACTTTACATTACATAATGAGGTAACAATACGATATTTCTCAACTCTCGAGAGTTACATTTTAAGTATCTAAAACGCTGGGCAAGCCTCGCGTTTTAAATTTGAAAATTTAACTGTCTCGACTGTATAGATATCGTATCATACTCAATGCAGTGGTAGAATCTATATTTATTACTACACTTATTAGTGGGATATCAAATCGTTGGTTTTGCATTAAGAGAATATCGAGTAGTTAAATTTTAAAATTGCAAACAGTGACTCTATATCTTTTGTACAATTGAAGTGTTTATGCTGTCTTATTGAATACCTAATTTATGAAATGTATCTACAACCAATGAGGGAATTTCATTAGAGAAATCTGCAAGCAATGAAATCGTGTACATTCATTGTATTAATAGTTTTTCAATTTAACACAATTATATTCACCTAGCCACAGGAATCAGTTAATAGAATACATATACTAACTTTGTCACAACTCCCATTGAGTGTTTCAGGGACCTGTTCTGGTGTGTTGTGAGGTGAAAATTGATTAGACTCTGGTATAAAAAGGTTTAAACAAATTACCAAACTCAACGGTAAATTGAAAATGGGGGACCATAAAAACTGACAAAAGCAAATGTTGGACTCTATCAACCAATGGAACGAATGGAAAACAACTGTCATATCTCTGACTTGGTACAGGCATTGTCCAAAGAAAATGGTGGGATAACCCTGGTGTTATAGATAGCTAAATCTCCCACTTGTCTGACATATTTTTTTACAGTTCAGTGATATTGACAAAATAAGTGATCAATTCAAACAGATATGATATTTTACTGTGACAATAATTGAGATCTAGCGGCCAAAGCTTTGTAAACATACAAAACAATTGACTAAAATAGCAAAACAATCAAACACATAAATCTAACAAAGACGCCCAGAAAAAACGTTGGTGTATTTGATAGAAATTTTCACAAAGACTTAATTCTACGATGCAAATTTGCATGAAACCGATTGACGAACCAAAGGTCGTGGGTATTTTTTGTGTGATTGCACAGTTGAAGTATGAAATAATACAGAATCTCTGTTGTTTGTATTCGGTAGTGTTAGGTTATGTGGCTGCGGTTTTGTCTTTTGTTATACAGATATAGATAAATTGATTGGGTTTGTTTGTGTTTTAGGGGGATCTCCAGCTGAGAGATTCTAGCTGTTCATGTATCTCCTGTTCTCATAAAAGCGACTTGCCTTAATATGTTTGACTTTTCAACTCTAGCATGTACATGTGCCATTTAACGACCAGTAAGAACAGATCTACGTGTAATTAATTAATGGAGTAGTCTAATTTGACATTTTAAACATTTCTGCCGTGTCATACTTTCTTTTTCTATAAAGGTTGTAAAGATATTACATTTTGATCCTATGTTCTATTTTAAGCTATGGCGTCCAGGTTGATCAGCAGGCAAGACCATTGGATACTTTTATTCTTTGAAAACCTAGATATACTTAGGATAATTGAGAACAGCATTCTTTCGAATTATCCAAGAAGTTGCAAATAGGAAAGACTTTATCAAATTTAACGGACGACGGCAACAGACGCAAAGTGATAGCAATAGCTCACACTAGCCCTTTAAACCAGGTGAGCATAGTATGGAGATAAAACATATGGCACCAACTTCAGTGTGTACGACACATCGTTTTGGTAGTACATTCGAACATTGTGAAAACACACACCGTATAGAAATCAATAAAACGCGATAGGATAGCAAAATTTGAAACACTTCAATGAGAAATTTAAATTAATGATTCTAGCTAGTAACATTTAACAAAATCAAATTATGACAGAGGGCAACAAACGACAACCACTGTACCACAGGCTTCTAGTTCCGGACAGGCACATTTTGAATGTATCGGGTTAAAAGTTTTCATGAACGCTCAAACCTTTACATAATCTGGATAATGGTGAAACAGAACAACATAAGAACATATTGTAAAACCAAAATCGGTTGAAACCGGTTTGTCGCATGCGATCGGCAATAAAAAACAAAACAACCAACAAAACGACAAAGACACAATACCGATCTCACCGATCTAGTAATTAATGAGAGCTTGTTAAAATCCCAATGTCAACTGATAAATAAACCGTATTTTCCAGACTTGTATAAAATGAGAGGCAGATGTTACCAAAGCGATATTCAAATGCATAAGTCGAATACAAACTGATAATGTCACGGTAAAAAACGACCAAAACACAAACAGCAGTCTACAAAACACAACATAAAAAAACTAGACAGAGCAACAAAAACCATACATCGGGGTTGATCTCAGGTGATTTGGAAGAATAAGAAGATCCTGCTTCACATGTGACACCAGTCGTGTTACTCTGATAAAACAACGTTGATGATTTATATTAAATAATTACGTAGCATGCAATAGCGGATTGGTAATTGACCCTTATCTAACCCCAAGACATAAATTAATTGTCATGTAAATTTTCTAACCCTGAAACTTGACCGAATGTGAAATATCAATCAGCAAATTTTCAACCGATTTAGTATAAAGACGTCATAAGCAGTATAAAAAAGATTTCCCTCCTACAATACCAAACTATCTACATGATGCTAGACATATGTGTGAAAGTGTTAATACATGTAAGTACAGAAAAAGACCTTATCAGATATATTGATAAACTTAAGGAATGATAATTTTTCAAAGGACCAATAAAATTAATAAGTTTGCATTGCTCACGAGCTCTTCAAACAACATACAATTGAAAAAAAAGGATTCGATATAACAAAAAAGTAAAGCAAAAATACCGAACTCCAAGGTAAATTCAAAAAGCGAAAATCTATAAAAACTGACATAATCAAAAGGTTTGACTTTATCACCCAACTGGACGAATGGACAACAACTGATATCAACCTCGTTTCATAGCTAGCTAAACTTCTCAGTTGTTTATAGTTGAGTTATATTGACAAAATTGGGTAACAATTAAACAAAAATATAAATACAAGGGTGAACAAAATGAAAACAACTATGTAAAAACGTCTTGCGTCCAAATTGCACCTCTGGACCTACCTTCACCAGGAACGCTCAAAACATGAAACACTGATAGCTGGATGCATAAATACCGAGTCACGTCAAGACTCATACGACCAAAAGGAACATGATAGCATAAACACAAATGAAGGGAAAATTGTAAAGTAAAAGAAGAGAAACACAGTTTCAGTACCTAGAATTTATAATAACTCAAGTACAAAGCCAATTTCTCCTGTATCTGATTCATAAGCTGTTACATTTTCAAAAAATCTAAATACTAAAAAAACAATGTTAAAAATTAAAGATGAATTAGTTCACTATGAGGTTCTGAAAGTATTACTTGTTTGTCATGTTTCTGAACATTAAATCAGTTTTTTTGTAGGGTTCAGCTAGAGAGAAATAGGAAAAAATTTCTTACATTAATTTACTAAGATTAAGATAAAAGGATTTGCTGTTTTGTGTTTAACCCACAGTGGATAACATTTCATGCATATTCAGGACAAGAACTAAGTAGCAATACATTCAATAGGCAGGTTCTGTAAAATGAGTCGACCGCGGGATAAAGGTCAGCAAATTAAAACTGATCTTCACTAATTCAACATGTTTAACAAGGTATATATATTAAGGTGACCATGTTTCTAAATACAGTCAACTATTTGGTCTGAATTAATTGAAATGTTGGGTTAATGTCAATGAGACTGCATCCAACGACACACACAAAACAATAAATTCAAATCGCATCTTGATTTCAACGGTATCTTTATAATATGCCAAAACTCCAAATTTTCCCGAGTCTCAATATGTTGTGAATTAATATATAAGACATACACTATCCAGAATCTGGCATTACATTAAATTTTTAAAATGAAATAAACATCATGATATGAAACAAAACAACTGACGGCGTTTCTGAATGGGACAGGCAAATGAACATATTGTGGTGTTAAACTTTTTTCTCAAAGTATCTTTTCGTGTAGTTTCATACAAATACGTAAGTGAATTATTATTGTATATGAGTAAATTAATTCTTGTTTTCTTTTTAAAGAAAATTCATCAAAAATAAATCATATATAAGAAAACAACTGCAAATTGAAATATAATTCAAAAGTAAACACATTGTGTAAAAATTTTTTTTTACCGATGTTACTAGATAGATTATTCAAAATTGATATCATATTTTATAATAGTTTTATAAGTGTGAACATATCTGATTAAAGAACTCGTTATGTATGGCGACAAGAGTAAATAAATTCGATAAATATACAAGTGATTCAATAATCAAGATTAGGAAACAAGATCAGTGCTATTATATTTATCCGTCTCCTTGATTATACTATAGACAAGAACAAAATATATATGAAAACAAATATACCCAGGAATCTTTATAAAAAACACACAAACACTTTTATTAGATTGTTTAAATTCAAATTTAATATACAAAATAATATAATATTTTATGATAATTTTATAAGTGTGAACATATTTGATTAAAGAACTCGTTATGTATGGCGACAAGAGTAAATAAATTCGATAAATATACAAGTGATTGAATAATCGGGATAAGGAAACAAAATCAGTGCTATTATATAAATCCGTCTCCCTGATTATATTACAGACAAGAACAAAATATATATGAAAACAAATATACCCAAGAATCTTTATAAAACACACACACACTAGTATTAGATTGTTTAAATTCAAATTTAATATACAAAATTAATATCAAATTTTATGATAATTTTAAAAGTGTGAACATATTTGATTAAGAACTCGTTATGTATGGCGACAAGAGTAAATAAATTCGATAAATATACAAGTGATTCAATAATCGGGATTAGGAAACAAGATCAGTGCTATTATATAAATCCGTCTCCCTGATTATATTATAGACAATAACAAAATATATATGAAAACAAATATACCCAGGAATCTTCATAAAACACACACACACAATATTATTAAATTGTTTCAATTCAAATTTCTAGTAAATTAAAACCATTAAATTTTATATTAAAAATACGATGTTATCTCGTATAAACAAAAACCATTTGAATGTTGTAATATTGGTGAAAATGACACACAGACCTTTTTAAATTCATATTTAAAATGTGAAAGAACTAACAAAAGCAATTTGTACGTCTTTCAGACAAAAAATAAACGACAAAACACGAAATTAAGTGCCCCCGAAGTCTGCAAGAATAGACTCAAAGCGAAAAAAAGTATCCATACAATTACATTTGTTAACGTATAAATTTTGTCTTGTTGAAAGTTTGTTTCAATGTTCCAACTATATTTCTACAAAGAATTAAGGGTCATATTAGCCCACCAGTCCATTTTTTCAAGATCGAAAAGTTTCAATCTAATGCATTGAAAATGTTTCAAGCTGATGCAAAATGATGTGAAATCGTAAGAATACCCATTGTCTCGAGTTTTGCTTCTCAATTGCTAAGCTATAACATAGGTAATAGGAAGAGTTGTGAAATCGTATGAATACATTATCTTCAGTTTTGCTTTCAGTACTTTAGGGTTATAAACTCCAAACGCTAGACAAAGTTTGTCAGCAGATACTACCCTTGTAAGGGTGTACAATATTGTCGAAGTGTCCTTGTCAATAACTGAAAACTCATTGCGGTTCATATTAACAAAAAATCCAAGTCTCCCTGTGACAGCTGTCCCGGCTGTATTCCTCAAACTCATTATTTTGATTGGTTTATTTGTTTTCGAAATCAAATGCTGGGCTGTAAGGCATATGGAAGAAAGGCAATTATGAATAGTAAACGACCATCCAAAGTTTCCAGCGTAGAAGTAATTGTCTATTTTTTTGCGACTTATCACTCCTACATCGACAACTAAGCCAGTTGAATTATCCTTAAAGGACGATAATATCTCGTACGAAAACTTAATCTCAAAGTATATTTTACTTGTAGAAGTTAAGCATTTATCTCCAATTGTTCCTTTGTACGTGTTAAACTGTCCCGGATGATTAACAGCATTCGGAGTCTCTTTACTGAAGGAATTACCCATTACTGTAGTATCGTCAGACAGGAAAACTAATGAATGTGTCGATTTTCTGTCAAATCTCAACGAAAATGCGTAATCGGTCTTGTCATCTGAAATGAACGTTTGCAAATGCATACAAAATATTGAAATATAAAGATATAAATAACACAAAAAACGTTATTTATTTGTAAATAACATAGAATTTTAATCACGATAGTCTTACAATTCTAATAAAATATACAACAAATCTTTAGTAGTCTCTGCAATTTTGGGCTTTATAAAAGGTTAAATAATTGTTTATTTGTGTTATTTACTTCTTTATACATAATAAATGTCCTATATTTATTTTTTTAGAATTGTCTGGAGGTGATCCTCCTCATTTGATTCCTTTTTACCCTTTCCCCAGTTTCTCAATCAGGTGGTATATAGTGATGTCGTCCCAATTTTTTTGTCCGAAATTGCTCCTTTGCTGCGGAACAGAAGTTTGTGAAACTTCACAGAATCCTACTCACAGGATATACATTTGCACCTCCTATTTATTCTTCAGAGATGACATGCATTTCATCACTTCATCATATCTGTACACTTTAGTACACATTAGTATCAGCTTCTCTTTATAAAACCATAAGAGAAACCTTTTTCGCAATACCTTAGGTATTTATATTAGGTTACAGAGTTAACGGTAATTTTGTATAAACATTAGTTGTGCATTAACCGGTATAAGTTTATGATTCGTCTTTATTTACCACTACCCATTCCTCTCAAAGATACTTAAGACAATAATAATTTAAACAGTATAATATGTACAATTGTTCTATGCTTTATGACGTCACGACGACATTCAAATGACTGAACGAAATAGTAGGAGTCAAACACAAAAGGACGGAATTACATAATAGTGTCAAGGGAATGAATATTCAAACATAAAAAGGTACGACATATCAAAGGAAAATATCCAACGAAACGAACTATATACATTGACAAGCTATGGTTGGGCGATAAATAATAAAAATTTTGGAAATAAGTGCGACCTGAACCTGGGTCGCAATTTAGAACTTTTTGAAATAGGAAAAATCCGTAGATCTATGGTCTGCAAATTGTCAAAAAAATTTCATAAGGACCTAAGAGCTACGGTTCCTTAAGAAGTGTCTTCATAGAAAAATTACAATTTCAGTCTGAAATATATATTTTTCATAACAATTGATTCTTAAAAGTACAAACGTATCTAGTAGACCACGTAACCAATTAAACTATCTCACTGTTTATATGTAGTTTTATATGCCATTTTAACCGTGTTAAAATCGGAGTCCTCTACGTATACCTCGCAAAATCTTAAGACAGGTTTTGCTGTTTTATTACAGGCAACAGTAGTTTACCGTTGTTAAAATCTCATAAATTGATTGAAAAGATACAAAACCAGGAGGGCGAATGAACACCGAAGGGAGCGAGACCAGGAGCTTCGACAGGAAAAGCTTCTCCTGTTGTATATTTATGAACGTGTTTGAGTTATTTAATTAAGATGAGGAAAGCTGAGATCCGTGATGAAGTGTATTCTCGCCTACCCCACATAAGAATCATCTTCAGTGTAAATTGATTATCCAGTCTTATATATAATGGGTTGTTGTTGCTGTTGGGTCTTGTTGCGGGAAAAGGTGGAGAATTTGGTGTTTATGGCAGATTTTTGATAGTTTTTGTTTAATTTATCCACATCGTTGTTAGATTTGTGACGATTTTGAGCTTGAGATATTTTATAGACAACTTTCTATCGTTATTCCTTAGATGACATTTGTTATATTTGTTTTGAGTCTGTCTCGTTGACACATACCGCAAATGTCCCATTATTCGAAATCGCAGTGATGAGATAAGACACGTTGAATGTTTCCTGAAATATAATGAATACAGGAAAATGATAATAATATACCCTTACCAGAGGACTTTGATAACATTACAGGAACAACTATCACTATGGTCAGGATTACACCGCATATAAATGCAAGTATTGACCACTTGTGCTGCTTTATTCTTATCAATATATCGTTTGAAGCCATCTACAAAAATTAAGTAAGTAATACACGAATAAAATAGACATAAAATAAGCGTACACTTTATTTTATTCTGGAATTCAAAATTGTTTTCTTAAACATAATTTGTTTTAATTCTACAATGTTGGTTACTAATTTTAAAGATGTAATGCGTTAAAATCGTTGATTGATGTCAAATAAAGGCAACAGTAGTATACCGTTGTTCAAAAGTCATCAATAGATTAAGCGAAAACAAATTCGGGTTACAAACTAAATCCGAGGGAAACATCAACTATCAAAGAAAAACCACGGAACAACAAAAACACTTAACTGCAACAAAAACAAACACCAGCATACATAAAAACGGACTATTTGATATCAACTGCCATATTCCTGACTTGGTATAGGACATTTTAAGAAAAAATGGTTGGTTGAACCTGGTTTTATGGCTAGTCAAACCTCCCCTTTATATGACAATGTTAAAAATACCACTAAAATGGGAACACTACGTGACAAGAATACAGTACAAATAAACACATGAATACTCAGGACAGAGAAATACATAAATAAATAATATAATAGTACAGCACAACATGTTAACCACAGAATAACAACGGATACCTCCCATAAATTTACGACATTATACCAGTACACCATAAACGGAGTATAAACTGCGCGTCCATGTATCAACGCCACAAAAAGTGACGTATATTTGTTACGTTTATATAATCACAGGGAAATTTCTAAAAACAGAGTAGATTTGTTTTATTATAGACACGAACAAAACATTAATTCACAGGGGGTTAACTTTTACCACATCTATCGTTTTATGTTTCCCAAATATAGACAAAATTAAGTTTCCCCTACATAAAACATGAAGAATAATGGGGATTTTAATAATTTCAATGTATTTGAACGAAAAAGCAAAGGTCCGTGAGCCCTAATTTTAATATTGAAATTTGAAACTATATTGGCCGGGAAGTCTTTTATATAAGTTGAAGAAAAATGTATCGTCGAACATTTATACAATCAAGTTACCTCAAGTATTTTTAAGTTTTTCGACTAACATTTATATACTAGATATGTATACTAACAACTGGTAGCTTACTATTCACAGCGGTCACTGATAATACATAGAGAGCTGTGTTTGGGACTAGATGCCATCGAATTAACCAATGAGATGACCTCCGAAGAATGTCGACGGTCTTTCATCCGATATAAAAATAAATCAACATACAAGCACATGTACTCGTATAACGACGATTGTTCTAGGTCCGTTCGATTTTATGTCGCAGATTGAGAAACAAATATGCAAATCATCAGTTTACCTGTATAAACATGATTTTTAAAAGATAGGCGAAAGATATCAATTGGATAATCAAATTCATAAGTAGAAAACAAACTGACAAATTGATGCCATCACAAAAAAAACGACGAAAAAACAAACTCCTGTACACAAAACACAACATAGAAAAAAAGACTGAGCAACACGAACCCCACCTAAGGTGCTCCAGAAGGGTAAGCAGATCCTGCTTGACAGGGGACACCCGTAGTGTTGCTCAAGTTAGTACAAACTCGTTGATTAGTCGTCTTCGGTAGGTCACTTTCATGGAAAAAGAGGACGGGATTGCTGACATATCCGTCGTCATCTGTGAAACAGATATTCTGTAATGATAACAAAACTCAAAACGGGATCCGTGAAATTTTCGAAGGAACAATTTCAACTTCACCGCTTGGAACTATAGTTTCATTGTAAGCAGCAACCTCTGTAATATCGTATCTAGGGTCGAAACGAAGTAGTTCTTCCTTTATAACTCCCTTTGCAATGTTGACATTCATTTACTTTGTATCTGAACATGCTGAGCACATGCGTAGCCCATCTTCATGAAGTAATTAAATTGAAGATATTTCTATATTCCTCTTTCAAAAAGATTTGCATCAAGCAAAATCAAATCTTAATGGTTTATCTAAATCGCAGCTAATCCTAACTCTAACAATAACCCTAACCCTAATCTTTAAATTAAGGCGACAATAGTTAACTGATGTTCCAATTTCGTAAATCGATTGAATAGAGACAAATCGAGGCAACAAAAAAATTGAGTGAATCGCATGAACGCCAAAAAAAGAACGAGTGCAGTTGCGTCGACGGGATAAGCTTTTCCTGCTAAGCATCACTCGCCATGCGAATCCAAACTCAGTCAAAATTTCACGATCGGAAATAGGACATAGTCATTACATTACAGTTCAGACGACTTTCAATCCTGGTATCTATGATGAATTTATTTACTGGAATGTTAAGATCTAGTACCGCGAAAACATGTCGCTTGTAAGTTGCGACATTTACACATCGTAGTGGTCAACCAATTCATGGTGGTGACCGTAAAACTTATGATGCTGAGATTTCAGTTGTTTTGCTAATAACTGTATTAGATCAGTTGGTATGTCAGGAGCCCGTCCATGTTAATGAAGTCTATAACGTGAAAATGAACGGGGTAACGTATTAACTGAGATATGTTTTTTTTACAAGCAACAATTTATCGATCAAACAGATAGCACGTGATAAGATTTTGATTAGGAACTCAAAGTTTGCAAAACTATGGTTCCCTTTAACGCAATGTATGACAATATTATTGAATTAATAAGAATGTAATATTTTTGTAGTATTAAACAAATGATTTGCTATGTATTCGAATCTTATCTAAGTTTTTGTGTCAGGGTGTCTTCTTGGGGTGTTTTCACGTTTCTTTAAAACTTGAGATTTTTGTATACAGGTATACAATGTATTGTTGGAGAAACGTGAGTAATATGTGATAATGATTAATTGTATTTCCTGCAAGAGTTACAGTGACTCCAGTATAAATTAATTTCTTTAGAATGAATTAACAGTGACACAAATCATAATTTGAAGGAAAAAAACTATGTATTTCATTATGTTCATAAAAAGGCACTACTAGGGATTTACAACAAAGGAAAACAGGTAGGCTATGCTCTGGTGGAAGAGTGCAAAACTGCTGCTCATCATACCAGTGATGTTATTGTTGCACATGTCTTTATTAGCGGTGATAAGATCATTAAGAATGTTCGCTACT